GGCGCGGCCCGGCTCGCGCGGGAGGGCGGCACCGGCGGCGGCACCGGCCCCGCAACCGCGGCCCTTGGGCTCCTGGCCGCGCTCGTCCTGGTTGCAGCAGCGCCCGGGGCTTGCGAGCCCCCCCATGGCCCCCGCATGGCCCCCATTGTCCCCATCGTCCCTCATTGTCCCCATTGTCCCCACGGCCCCCGCCGCCCCAGCTCCCCCCGCCGCCGCCGGCTCCCTCCTTCCCTCCCTCCCTCCTCCGCTTCCGCCGCCTTCCCGCACAGATGCTCCATTGAGAGGCGGCATTCCCGAGGCTTCCCGGCGCGGAGCAGCCCTGGCCCTGCGCCGGGTCCGCTGCCTCCCGCTSCCAGCAAGGAGACCCCATCCCCACGGAAGCCCCACAGAGCCAGCGGGTGACGGAACATTCGCTGCCCGCGCATGGAGCTCGAGGGGACACGGGACTCGCTGCACGCACGGCGAGCGGCGGCTCCGGCTGCCTGACGTGGCCACGTGTGGCCCTCGCAGTCGGGATTCCGTGCACCGCGAGGCCTCCGCATGCAGCAAGGTCTCCATGTGCAACGAGGTCTCCGTGTGCAACGAGGTCTCCATGGAGCACAAGCTCCCGGGAGCGTCGTTCCTGCGGCGCCTCGGCGGCAGCGGGCAGGGATCGCTGACGCCYGCTCCCGCCGGCCCTCCGCGAGCGTCACATGCTCTGTGCTTGTTGCTTGCCCGGGTCATTAATTGCTTGCATATGCGCCGAGATGGGACTCCAGGAGCCCCGGTGTTTCCGCGGGGTTGGATTCGGCCCTCCTGCCTGGCGGCTCTTCCAAGGGAGTCGCTCGCAGCGTTAACCACTGCTTGTCATGCGGAAACAGAGCCTAGGCCTGAGATGCCTGGGCTGGCACTCCTGCTGATCGTGGAAGGGCTTTGTAATATCTGGGTGAAAACTCGACTCCTCTCATCCTCTCCCTCCCCTTCTTTCCCTCTTTTCTGCCTCTCTTGCACATGAGGCCAAGGGGCTGCGGGGCCCCTGTGGCAGCTGCAGTTTCAGCCCCATTGCCCAGGCCCCCAGCACATCCCGGGACGCCCCTCCAGCAGGGTCTGACCTGGAACACKGGGACGAGCGGGACGGGCTCTGGGCTGAGCTCGCTCCCCCGTTACCCCATTCCAGAGGGCGGCGCGGGGACTTTCCCAGGCCAGGAAGGGAGCTGGGAAGGGGCCCCGTGCTCGGCCTCTGGCCCGATGCTCCGAGTGCCGGAGACATCCGATGTTCTGATGTCTGCGTGCCGAAGCCGGTGCCGCCGGCATCCTCTGGTGATGAGAGGTGGAAAAGGGAAGAGCTCCCGGCAGGAGCACGAGGGGGATGAGTCACCGCTTCCCTCCGCCTGTGCCCGGCAGGAGTGCCCAGCTCCCGTCGCCGCTTCCTGCCTTCCCGTCTGCGGGTCTGGCCACGGGGCCACGGGGAGGACGGAGCCGCCGCGCTCGCCCGGGCAGAGCCGCGTGCCAGCGCTGCTTCCCGTCTTCCCAGCCCTCGGAGTCACGGGGATGGGCGCGAGGCTGCTGCTCCAGGCTGGYGGTGAAGATGCCGGTGCCGGCACATCCCGCGTCCGCTCACAGCCCGCCGTGTGCTGTAGCCAGACTGCTCTTCCTCCAGCTACTGCGCTCGGGGCGTCTTTGCTGGCGGCGAAGCCCCATTGCCGCGTTGTGGCCTGGCGCGGCGGTGCCGAGTCGGCTGCGGGGACGCGCGGGCGCATGGCCATTGCTCACCCTGCCCCTCTCTGCTTCCTTCTTCCCCCAGTTGCCGCCCGCGAGAGCATCCCCCGGTCCGCGCTCGTGCCGAAGATGCTCTGCCCGCTGCTCGCGCTGGCAGCGCTGGCCTCCGGCCTGGCAGGTGAGCGGGGCGCCCCGGGGACCGGGTCTTGCTCCAGGATGCGACGTCGGTCCCGGCAGGGCTGCCCTGGACCCACAGCCGGGTGACCCAGAGCCCTCGGCCCTGGCACTAACGCAGCCGCAGTGCCCAAGGGCGTCCAGTAACTGAAATCCTTTTGGGATGTTCCCCGCTGGCGATGCTTCCAGCCAGGCTCCATGACGTTCCTGAAGGCGCCTGGCATTTACTGTAGCTGGAGGTAGCCGCGGCGTGGCGAGTCTGCCAGGGAGCCGGCTGGCTGCCCAGGAGTCATCCCAGCCCAAGCCAAGGGCTCGTTTGCCAGCGCTGGCAGCCTTCATCCACCCCGGCTCCGTCCCTCGTGCTCCTCCCCTCCATCATCCTTCAGGAGCCTCCTCTCTCTTCCCGGTCCTTTACTCCAAGCTCATGTCTTGCGGTGGCTGGTGCTGCCCTGATCCCAGCAAGGCGCTTGCTGCACGYGGTGGCTTTGCCCTATCTGGGAAAGGCTGCTGAGATGGAAAATAAATCCTGGCTGCAGATACAGCCGCGCTCCTCCCTTGCTCCCGGGCGAGTTTTTTCCCCTTCTCCTCCCTTTACAAGCTGCTTGTGGCCATTAGAGAACTGGGGATTCCCATTGCATTGAGAACCTTGCAGGCAGGACGGTCACCAAGGAGGAGCATCCGAGCCGTAAATGTGCAGCTGGTCCTGGACGGAGCCGTGGGGTCCGTGCGGTTCGGGTGTCCCGGCAGCTCCCTGCGCAGAGGTGCGTGGAGAGGCAGTGCTTGCTGCTCCTGGACAGCTGAGGGCAGCAATCGCCAAGGTTTGGGAAGTGCCACGCAGCCTGCACTGCGACCAGCTCCGGTGCCGCGTGCTGGTGTCTCTGCTCCCCGGTGGCTTTCTCGGACAGGCTACGCTGCGCTGGTATGAGGGCTGCTTCAGTTGACTCTCCCGTTGCCAGCAGCTTGGGCCTTTCTGGGAATTGTTGCTAGGAAGGGCTTGAGATGCCAGTTGCTCTCAGTTGGGAATAGAGTGGGAATTGCAGCCACTTTCCAGCTTTGGTCACGATCATATCACCCGTTCCTGCAGCGCTCCGTTCTTCATGCTTARCTGTCATCCAGATCATCCGGGAACGTGTCTGGGGTCTCATCCCCGCATGCCTGCGCTCTCTTGCCGCCCTCCTGCAGGTGCCATGGAGATCCGGGTGCCGGAGGAGCCCGTGGTGGCTCTGTTTGGCCGGGATGCCACCCTGCACTGCGCCTTCTCCCCCAAGGCCAACTTCAGCCTGGACGACCTGACGCTCATCTGGCAGCTGACGGACACCAAGCGCGTGGTGCACAGCTTCTCCGGCGGCAAGGACCAGCTGGCCGACCAGGGTGCCGGCTTCGCCAACCGCACGGCCCTCTTCTACGAGCAGCTGGCCCGCGGCAACGTCTCGCTGGTGCTGCGGCGCGTGGAGATCTCCGACGAGGGCAGCTTCACCTGCTTCGTGCGCGTCCGCGGCTACGACAGCGCCGCCGTGCTGCTGCAAGTGGCCGGTGAGAGGTGGAGGGTCCCCGCACGCGCCCCGGATGGGAGGGCTCTCCCCTGTCACGCTTTTCCTCACCTCTTTCTCCGTATCCCGCTGAGTTGGCCCCTCTCCGGCAGCCCCGGAGCAGCCCCGTGCTCGGGTGCTGCGTGTCGGCTGCGGATGCGCACGGGGCCCGTTTGCTCCCGGCTGCACTCGTGTCTCCCCTGAGCTCTCCTCGGCTTTGGCGCAGCCTTTTTGCTCCTGGGAAGTGCCGCTTCTCCAGCTGCCTGATTTCTAGCGCTCCGTGSTTGCAGCGTCCCTGAGCCCCTGGGTGTAGGAAGGGAGCAGGAGGGTCCCTGGTGCGCAGTTGTTGGTCTAGTGATGGAGCGATGGGTAGGTGCCTTGGGGAAATAAGGAGAAAAGGACCGTTTATTGCTCCAGGCATGATCCTTCAGTCACCTCTGTCACCTCCTCTCCCTTTCAGCTCCTTACTCCAAGCCCAACTTGAACATGGAGCCCAACAAGAACTTGAAGCCGGGGGACCTGGTGGCTGTGACTTGCCACGCGTCCCGCGGCTACCCCGAGGCCACTGTGCTCTGGCAAGACAGCCACGGCGGCAACATCACGGAAAACGTCACCACGTCTCAGGTGGCCAACGAGGAGGGTCTCTTCGATGTGCAGAGTGTCCTGCAGGTGTCAGTGGAGCCCAGCAGCACCTACTCCTGCCTGGTGCGGAACCCGGTGCTGCAGCAGGAGAGCCAGGCCTCCGTCACCATCACGGGTAAGCGGCCAGGGGAYGTCAGAGATGGGGTCTCTCTGAAGAACATGATGGGCTTTGCTTTGCTGCAGGCCTGCTTACGACCCTGTGGGCCCTAGGCAAATATTGCATTACTTGTAGTGCCAGCTGACACTATGTGAAGAGAAGTCAGGAGGAGAGGGAGCTGTGAGAACAGAGCGTAAATCCAGGCGGGCCCCGTTGGTTACCTGCTGTCTGTGGTGCAGGCGCTGCTGTGAGAGCATCGCCCGGCCTYGCCGCGTCCCTCTGACAGCTCTCGTGGCCTGATAAACGGGAGCTAAACGGCCTTTGTTGTGGATGGGGCTGGCAGGGCTCGCTCGGGGACGGAGCTGTGCTGGGCACACGAATCCATGCTCCCGATGTGGGAGACATCCTGGGCGACAGGGGCTCCCTGCAGCTGTGAGCTGCTCCCGGTCGGCGCGGCGCAGCAGGGATGCAGTCCTGGTGCTGCTCCCGAGGAGGCYGGCTCCTCCACGGGCTCGTGCTGGCCACGAGCTCGCCGAGCCTTTMTAGATGCCCCGGATAACCTCGTGCGCTCGCTGGTAACATTAATYAGTGCTTAATTGTCCTGGGTACAGCAGCTGTTGGGCTGTGAAGGAGGGTTCCGTGGTGGAGCATAAACCTTTTGGGTGGCAGAGCCCTTCCCGCGAGCCCCGCGCAGCTGCACGGAGGGGCCCGAGGAGGAAGGCGCCCGAGCATCCCCGCTTCCGTAGGAAGGGCCAGCGTCCGTGCGCTCCTCATTCCCACAGCACTGGATGAGCAGGAGCAGGCGGTGCAGCGAGCGCTCTCCAAACCTTCTCTTTAGCTTCTRAGCAAGCGCGGGGTCAGCTTGCAGTTTGAATTTATTAGGGCAATTATTTAAAGGTTAATGAGTTCTATGGAGTGACTCAACCTGCCCATTTCCTGCTTTCCCATCCGGATCCAGAGCTGCGGCTGTGAGGCCGTAATTAGAGGAGCTCATGGCTGTATTTCCAGGGACCCGACCTGGCCTCCGCGTCTGTCCCTATGGGACTGGGGAGTCCCTTGCGGTGGCCGCTGGGGTGGCTGCGCTCATGGTGCTCGAGGTGCTCACAGTGCTCATGGTGCTTGTGGCACTCATGGCACTCACGGCGCTCGAGGCGCTCACGGTGGTCATGGCACTCATGGTGCTCATGGATCTCACGGCGTTCCCGTCCCCAGGCCAGCACCTCGCCTTCCCCGCCGTGGCGCTCTGGGTGACCGTGGGACTCGCCATCTGCGTCCTGGGGCTGCTCGTAGCCCTGGCCTACGTGTGCCAGAAGAAAATCCGGCAGAGCTGCGAGGAGGAGGAGGCCAACGCAGGTAACGTGCTCGGCTCCCGGGCCGTGGGTGGGATCCCTGCTAAGCGGAGCCGAGGAGCCGCTCGGCCGGAGCTCTCGGCGCCCGCTGTGCGCTTCCCTGCCCRCTGCACGGCCCTCGCTCTGAGCAGCGGCCCTTGGAGCCGGGGCAGGACCCTCCCTGCTGCAAAACGCAGCACGGCCGGCTGCTCTTGTGACGGATCTGGGGCAATTGGAGCTCCTTTGGCCCTTGCTCCCCCTCTGTGGCCTTGCTGCGGCAGTTTGGAGGCGGATGCCTTTGGAAAGCTCCCAGCCATGAGGTGTAACCAGGGCCCCGCTGCTCTGGAGAAGCAGAAGGGCTGGAGCTGTGCAGCTGTCCGGAAAAGACGGGTTCTTTGCCCAAATGACCCTTTCTGGTGCAGTTTGGAGGGAACTGGGCGGCACGGGTGGCACCGGGGGGCCTGGAGCGAGGCCGGGGCTGGTGCTTCATGTGCTCCCGGCTCCTGTCTTGCAGGGACGGAGGAGCCGGACGAGGARGGGGACGAGCCCAAGACAGGTGGGTGCCGGGATCCGCTGGGGTCCAGGAGCTGGGGAGGGGGTGTCTTGGTGCCCCCCGGCCGGCAGGCCCCGGCGCCACTCGCTCACTGTTGCCCTCTGTCCCTTGCAGCCTTGCAGCCGCTGAGGAGCGCGGGGAGTAAAGAAGGTGAGCGCGGCGCCGCTGCGCCCTTCCCTCCGCGCGTGTCCCCCGTGGAGCCCTCCGGGGGATCCAGGCCCTRTTCCCGCCTCTCTCCGCCTTGTGTCCCCTCAGCTTCTCAATTCACCTCCCCCTGTATTCCCGGCCTCGCTTCGGCCTCCGCCGCGGCTGAATCACCGCTGATTCCGCCCTCCCTCCTCCACCCCCGTTATTAATGGCTTTTTTCTCCAATGCTAATTTYCCCCCCCTCCTGATAGTTCTATAAAAGGCGTCTTTTTGCTTTTGGCTTATAATTTCTTTGCTGATTTCTATTTTTTTTCTTTTTTTCGCCTCAACCATTTCCAGATAACGAACAGGAAATCGATTGATGGGAGCCGGGGGAGAGCTCGGAGCGGCCCCCCAGAGCAGATGAACTGTCCCCCGTCCCCAAGGCCCACGGGGACGAGCTGCGGGTGACCGAGGACATGCACGAACGCCCCGACWCAGACTGGCCGCTGCCGCCAGGATGGCCCCATCCTCCTCCTCCTCCTCCTCCTTCCTAGTGGCCCTTCCTCCTTCCTTCCTGGTCGTCCTGGCGCTGGGAGCCCTTTGGCCTCCGTCCCCCTGCCACGGCTTCAGGTGCCTTCGGGGGCGGATTTCGATGCCCCTTCCAATTCCCGAGGCCCCGATGGCCGGGTGAGGGGCTCGGCGAGGGCCCTGGGAGCGGGAGGGAGGCCGGGGCGCCGTGGTGCCCTCCAGGGACCGGGTTCAGCCTCTGCTCAGCTCCGGCTCCTGGAAAACCCTCCCGAATGACGGATTTCGGAGCGGTGGGTGCGCGCTTGCCTTCCGACTGGAAAGAGATGGGATTGACACGGCTGGTCCGCGCGGGCGGCCCCGGGGCTGCGGGTTTGTCGCGCCTCCACGGTCCCCCCGACCCTGCTGCGGTCAATGGGTCTCCTGTTGTCTTGAATTTATTTAAATTCCAGAATCTGGAGGTTTTTGTGCCTTGACCAATAAACTTTTAGATCTTTTTGGACGGTGCTTCCCGGCCCCTGTGTGGTTTTGGGGTCCCCGTGGCCACAGGCCAAGGAACGGTTGGCGACCAAAGGCCTTTGTTTGTGTTGAGTTTTGCCATTTCTCTTGCAGGAAAAAGTCAGTGAAAAKCTCAATAATTGGGAGGCTTTTGCTTTAGTAAGAGTCCCAGGTCCTTCCCTCCCCAGGCACGTTCCTGTATCCAGAGCCCTGGGAAGGGGACGCTGCCTCTTGCACCCCTGTGCCRGAAGACAAGGAAGAGGAGGAGAATGAACCTCTTTATCTCCCACTTCASAGCCCTCTCCCCTTGGGAAATGCGACCTCCGCGGGTGCTCCGCTGGGGAGCTCGGCTGAGCTTCCCGAGGACAACGTGGCGTTTGGGGGCAGCACGTGCCAGGACGAAACGAGSAGGAAAACAAAGGCGCTGCTCCCCATTCCCATCCGGAAGCTTGGGGCTGGACCGGGGCTGGGCAGATGGGGCGGCGATGCCTCTGGGTGCTGCGAGGTGTTGGGAAGCTTCCCGATGTACCTCAATATCCGCCACGTTTCCGAAGCCTCCTGCATYGCACGGCCCTGCCATGGGCTGCAATAAGCGCTGTCTTCCCGGGAGCCTCTTCCAGAGGGAGCTTCGCCTTGGCGACTCCTGTCACCCCTCCCAGAATGTGAGGCCTATCCGGGTGTTTTGGTGCCGCTTTCTCTCTCCCGAGGCCCCTTTTTTTCCAGATGGAGCCCCGAGCATGTTGCTTCCTGCAGCCACGGTGCAGCCGGTCCCAATATGTCAGCGATAACCAGGGAGTTTAGAGACATTTTAATTATAGACCTGGCCCCGCTGTGCCATTTGTCAGGGGCAGCTTCAGCGATTTATCAATCAGCAGCTCTAAGAGATCTGAAGCAGGAATAAAGCAGCGCGCCTATTTATCTGCCTGACTCAGAGGTCGCTGTGGAAATACCTGAAGGAAAACAGTGATATTTCTTAAGAGTTCCTCACTGGCATTTAGAAGTGGTCTCCGGCCAGGGATATTGATGAGCCCCGCGAGTCCCAAGGTACAGAGAAATCCCCCCATTTTTACCATGCTCCGTCTCCCGTTAGGAGCACCCCTGAGCTCCAGGGCGGGATGAGGGATGCTTGGACATTGCCAGGTCCCTGCAATGCCCCTCGTGACAAAATATTCAACACTCCAGTGATAAAGCRCCCGGTCAAAGAGATCCCTTCAGGTGAGACACTGAGAAGAGCTTGGAAGAAGCGCAGAGGGTTGGAGCTCCTTGGCTTTCCGTGGAGCACCGTGGTGCTGGAGATGGTGCCACGTAAGCAGAGCGCTTTGCATCTCACCCCAAAGGTCATCTCCGTGTCCACGCTGTCCTCCAAGGCTGGTCTGCTCCTGCAGAGGACACCTCTTTGCTTTCCAATATTCCCAACCAGATGGAGAAATAGCACATGGAGGTTAAGGGATGGAGGGAGCTGCAGGAGAGCCTGGTGAGCCCCATCCCAAGGGAAGCAGAATTGCTGAGTTGCCGCCAGCACAGGCAAAGATGGATCATGGCTGGGAAAGAGAAGGGAGATGTCCCCTGGTGTCCTTCATTACCAAAGGAAATGTGTGGAGAGAGGACTTCGCRGATGGAAAAGGCTATTCCTTCAGAGCCATTAAACACAGATTACAGTGATGGATGCTGCAGCAAGAGAGCCGGGAGATGCTGGATGGGGTTTTTTCGCTGCCTATCGATCACGAGTGGCTAATGCACCCAAATGAGAATAAAAGCTGCTCTCCTCCCAACAGATTCAGCCTTTCCCTCACCAGCAGGAAGCAGCCRCATTTAAGGGCCACGAATCTTCCGTCCCCGTTTCATCCCGGAACCCGTTTGGGGCCGTCCCGCTCCCGTTGCTCTGCCCGTGTGGCGGGAGCAGATGAAGTGGCGGCTGGGCCGGGGGCGCCCGTCCTGCGGGCTCAGCACCCACGGATCCCCTCCCTCTCGGCTGTGCATGTACGTCTTTATTAGGTCTGCAGAACAGAAGGCTGGAAAATTCCAGGCCTGCATCCCTGCGGATCGGCGATGGGTTTGCAATGCCGACTATTATTATTATTTATTTATTTTTATCTCAGCAGAGCTCTTTTGTCTTTGAGGAAGAACAGGGTCATTTCCCCTAGAGCAGCAGCTCCCTGTCCCCTGAGGTGCCGTCCTGCGCTCTGGCCTGGGCACTGGGGTCCCCCGGGCTGCCCCGTTTGGGGCTGGGGGCATGGGAAGCAGGCGGGAAAGCCGGGCAGGGCAGTGGGCCCTGCTCTTCAGAAAAGCCAAGCACAGGGCCTAGACCTGCATCATCCGCGGGGCGCTCGGCCGGCTCCAAGCCAGAAACGACTTGCAGATCTGCCCCGTTTCGTCCCCGCGGGGCAAAACCCACTAATCCAGCACAGGGGACGCCCTGGGCTTAGACTTTCCCCGCCAGCTGGAAAGCTTTTTCTTGTTGTATCATTTATTCATCACTCATTAAAAAAAAAAAAAAAGGGAAAAAAAAAGGCAGGAAAGCAGGGCAAGGCAGGGCCCGGAGCCGCTCCCGCAGGCCCTGCTCCTCAGCACGGCTCTCCAGCACATGAAGCAGGGGCTGCTCCATCTGTTGCAGGCTGCAGTGCCGGAGCTGCAAGGGTGGGAAGGGGAGGCTTCCCGCGGGCCGGTGGAGCCCCTTTTCCTGGGCACATGTACAAAGCACCTTAAAAAATGCCAGTGACGGCATCGCTGGGGTTAACGAATCTCCCACAGCTCCTGCAACGGCGTCAGCAAAGAGCACGTACAGATACGTGGCCATCAGCGGCCTGGGGCCACGYGGGGACGGTGCCCTCCGTGGGCACGGCCACCTCCGTGTCCAGCCCGTGCAGAGCTGCGAGTCATTGCGCTCTGTACACCGGCAGATGTGCCAATTAGCCTGGTTAGCACACGGAGGCCAATTAATCTCTTGATTACGCCTGCCATTCACTTATCAGGAGCTATTATGAGAAGATCAGCTTTGGTACCTCTGCCCGCCACGCAGATAAGCTGGTTGTGATGCCTTCATTACTCGAGATACGGTTGCGCGGAGCAGACAGGCGTGAAATGGAGTGTGGACAGAGCGCCAAGGAGCAGAGGCGGCAGCCCAGGTGGCTCCTGCAGTGAGGACAGGGCTATGAGAGAAGCCACTGCAGTTTTGCACGTGCCACCGTACCCCGTGCAGTGCTGGTGCTCAACAGCCAGGGCTTGGGCATCCCTGATGCTGCTGTGGGGGTCAGCAGCACTTCCCAACACAGCCACAGGGTCAAAATGCTGCAAGTCCTTCCTGGGTGGAGCACACGAGCTCCTTGGTGCACCAGAGACTTGTGATGRACACCCAGCAAAATCCCCTTGCCTTGTCCCTGTGCTCTTGCCTTGGCATCACCCTCATTAGGAGATCACTGCAGAGCTGCCCATGAGTAGTAACACTCAAGGGGRCCTGATTGAGCCCTTGGGGTGCTGGTGGCCCAACCTGGCCAGGTTGGCATCGCTGGGGCATGGGCATAGAGCCAGGGGACAAGAGGTCCATCTGGTACTGGGGCATATAAGGAGAAGCTCTCGAGGGCCAGCATTGCTGGAGACCCAGCTGGGTCAGGACAACCCCACTGGCTGCCCCAGGGCCTGTCCCAGGTGGGCCCCGTTGGCCTGGGCTGCGGCCCCAGGTGTGCTGGGTCTGCGTGGGCTCCAGTTCGGGTATAAAGGCTCTGAGCAACAGCCTCTCCCCATGCTGGGCTTGCTGAGGCCAAGATGGGGTCTGGAGGCAGCCTGGGGTTTGCTCTCTTGTGCTGGGTGCTGGCCAGAGTGGTGTCTTCTGGCCCCTGGGATTCCTCTTGGAGGAATTCRGGGGTTTTGAGAGTGAGAGGGGACTCTTCTTGGAGACAACCCCAGGYACCCGCCTTGTCCCAGGCCTCCCCCTGGGCTTGGGTTGATCTCTCCCAGCTCCAGGCCGCGTCCCCGCAGCACCCGGTGACCGTGCGGTGCCAGGAGGCCCAGCTGGTGGTCACGGTGCACAGGGACCTCTTTGGCACGGGGCGCCTGGTGAGGGCTGCGGAGCTGAGCCTGGGCCCGGCCGCCTGCGCGGCCGCGAGCGCCACCGACAGCGCCGTGACCTTCGTGGCCGGGCTGCACGAGTGCGGCAGCACCCTGCAGGTGAGGAGGGCCCCGAGCCGGGCCTGAGGCTCCTCTGGAGGCCACTGTGTGTGTGGAGGAGGCCTCAGTGTCCTGCACCCTCCTTCTCAGGAGAGGGTGAGGGGTGATTGGGTCCAATGTGCTGGAGTGCCCTGGGAGGAGGATGTTTGCAGAGCCCCAGGCTTACAACCCGTGTCTACTTGGTGTGTGCTCATGTGTGAGTCCTGGTGACTGCTCTCCCATGCAAGCCATGGGGCATCTCTCTCTGGCATAGAGAGATCATGGTGGATTGGGAAGCGTGGAAGATGGTTGCTGTCCGTGGCTGGTGGATCTAGGTGTCCTAGGGCAGTGTTGGGTATCTGAATGCGCTCACCTTCTTGGGATGACTGCCTCCTTTCACTGACATCAGTTCTCTCACATGTTCCTTCCAGATGACCCCGGACTCCTTGATCTACAAAACTAGTTTGTCCTACAAACCTACTCCCACAGGCAACCTAGTCATCATAAGAATGAGCCCTGCGGTGGTTCCTATTGAGTGTCATTATCCCAGGTGA